CTTCCTCTTTCTCCTCCCTTGATCAATAGTCCGTGAAAAGAAACACTCCATTAAAATGGATGTTCTATAGCTTGTCAACCTACACGTCAAACTCTTAGCCTTTGATTTTCTCACTCTTAAACCAATCCCCCACGTACGCATCATTTTTTTCTAGCAAGGGGTGACACCTCTCGCGCACAGAGACAATGAATATCAAATTCGACATTGACGATGGTGTTAGTTACATACTCAACCAAGAAACTTCGCGTCACTTCTCCCGTCGGATCTAGGCGCTATTATTATGTCATGTATTCGAGTGTTGTCATATGTATCTGTCTTGTGTCATGTATCTATATATATATATACTTGTTATGTTATTATAATGTATCTGGTTATTTTCGTATTTATCCGAGATACATGTTTTTGGATATAAGGTATGAAATTAATACTTGATACATCAAATTATATATATAAAAGATGCATGAAATAATATTAGACTATAAATAAAAGAATAATAAATTAAATTAATTAAATATAGATACACTCCTTGATTCCGCCTTACATTCGATTTAGTTAATTTAAATTATCAGAAGTAATTGTTTATATATTTTGAAAATCCTCAATTACTCTTGTAATTAAGGAAATCAGTTACAACCAATTAATTTAAATAAATAAAATATGTAGCTCATTTTAAAATTTTGACAGATACATGCATTTCACAGATGAGTTAATTTCCTAAATGGTCACCCAAGGAATTGCCTTGAAATATCATTTATGTTTCATTTAGGACCAAAATATCACTCAACTATCACTATTTTCCTCCAAATATACTTGACACTTCAAAAGCCTCACTCTCTCCTAGTTGGCATGACATGTCATTAAAGTCATTTTTTTAAATAATAAACTAATTTAATTCATTAAACTCATTAAACTAAAATAATGATCATATTTTTATTTATTTTTAAATATTAGTTTATTAAAAATAAATTTTCATACTTAAAAATCTTTTATCATAATTAAACTTTTTATTCATTTATGCTATGAAGGATAGTTTTTTAAAACTTACCATAATGTCATCAATTTTGAATAATTATAAATAAATATATTCAAAAAACATTGATATATAAATCACTTATGAATGTCAACTTACATCAATGAATCATATATTATATAATGGATCAATAATATTAAAGCTCAATTAACATTCGTGAGTGATTTGTATATCAATATTTTTTTTAATGTATGTGTTTATAAGTATTCTTAATTGATGATATTATTAGTATCTTTTAAAAACATATTCTTCATAACATAAAAGAATAAAAGTTTAATTATGATAAAAGATTCTTAAGTATGAAAATTTATTTTTAATAAACTAATATTTAAAAAAATAAAAATATGATCATTATTTTAGTTAAATGATTTAAACAAATTAAATTAGTTTATTATTAAAAAAAGGAACTTTAATGACATGTCATGCCAACTAGGAGAGAGTGAGATTTTTGAAGTGTCAAGTATATTTGGAGGAAAATAGTGATAGTTGAGTGATATTTTGGTCCTAAATAAAACATAAATGATATTTTAAGGCAATTCTCTAAACTTGGGTGACCATCTAGGGAATTGACTCTTTCACATATTCTGAATCAAGTATCCTAAGCATGAAATATGGTAAAGAAAATAATATTTGAAAGTATCGAGAATTTTAATAATTAGGACCTAACCTAATGAGATTTATGTAGTTTGCACTTTTCTTATTTCTCGGAGAATTTTAAATTTCAAATCATCATTTGAAATTATAATTCTATTCATATTTCATAAATAAATATTATTAATTTTAAATCCATGTCACAATACCTATGATCAAATGTCTGCTCAAGTTTGTCACTTGCCAATTAGTCACCGTCCCTGGTCATGTAAAATAAGTGCCTTATGTATTAAGTTTTAAGTCATCACACTATAAACATGCTAAATTACTTAGAGCTCGCCCATTAAATATGAATTTCTCCAAATCTTGAGAGAAAAATATAAGTATAAATTATTGGCAAAGTAGGTGAAGATTATACGATCAAAATATGTTAAATTAATTATTGGATCAAGATCAAATTTGTTCAAAATTTATTTGGATAAAAATTTGTTGAATCAAGATGGGTCAATAACAAATAATAATTCAATCCGATTAACAAAACCTAGCTTCTCTACTCATTTTATAGTGTATAAATTGAAATTATTAATACATTCGTTTTTTAAAATTATCATCACACCTGTGATTGAATGTAAGCAAATATTATTGCGTGCATAGGCGGAGTTAGGTGGGGTTCAGTCCGTTGAGGCAACTAACTTTTTTGATAAATTATTTGGGTTCAATTGAGGCAACTCAACAAATGAGAGTCATGAAAAATACTGAATGAATTGCCATAAATTATATTATTGGGATTGATTTTATCACCTCTAGTGTCTAGCATATTACTATCATCGATAAAATGTTTTTTGTGCGGACTGTGGAAATAGTAATAGCATGTTTTAAGGAATCTAGAATTTTGGAAACATCTTTAGGAAGCTAGAATTTTTAGCCACGTTTTTAAGAAGTTAGAATTTTATTTATTTTTTTAAATAAAAAGAAAGAGTTAAAAGTACTTATTGTAAAGATTTGAGATATTTGGTCAAGTTTTTTTTTTTAAAAATAAATATTTTCAAATAGTACTAATAAAAATTGACCGTCAAAAATAGCTTTTTCCCCAAAAATATCTTTAGAACTTTGAGTAAATACAAACTACTGCTCTAATATTAATAAAGACAATTTTTTAATTAATTAATTAACTATAACTACTCTTTAAATAACTTCTAATATAAAATTACTGAGAAAATATGAAAAATTTAACTAAACAAGCTATAAATAAAGAGGGAATAAATGGGAAAGTTTTGTAGGAGAAGTAGGGGTAAATAAATACCTCAAGTGGACAAGTGGGAAATTAAATTTTGGACTCAAGAGGCACCATGTTTGACGAAAGCCGTGGACTCAGAAGCAATATATATTTTGTATATTTCAACGGTTAAAAATGATTTATTTTAATTTTTTTTTATCAAATAGCATTTTTTTAAAAAGTATATTGAAGAATTATAATTTATATTTGACTAATTATTTTTGTTAATATTAATAAGTAGATTATATATGTGATCAATCTTTTAAAAGTGTCTTTAGTGTCAAATTATATAAAAAGAAAAAAAAATAGATAAGTATTATGTAGGATATTTATCAGTGATTCGATTCAATCAGATCTTCGATTTATTGGTTATGATTTTTATATGTGCTAAACGCTACTAAAATAATTAAATATTGATTAATTCGATTCGATTTATTATCTGTTGATTATTAGTCAGATATGTTCAATGTTTCCGATCTCAAACATGATATTACAATCTTGAGGCATAAATTCCTTTCATCCACGGCCCATGAAAGGTCCAAGTTCATCGAAGAAGAAACATTATAAATTCCTACGAATTGATAGATTAACATATTATCATTTTTTATTAAGAAATTTACTTGCAATTAACTTAAAAATCGACCACGTGTTGCCATAAATTGGTCAATAAAATTTGAAATTTTGAAATAGGTTTAGAAAACAATTCAATTTTCACTCAAAGAATTTGAAACTTTATTTTATGTCCAAAGCCAACTTCCTTTTCAAATATATATATATTTAAAATCTTTACCAAATAATGTATTCCTAGCAATACTCTGTTATTCCAAAGAGACAAAAGAGAAATAGAGAAAAGGAATACTAATACTAAGAATAAAAGAGAGAGAAAAAAAAGTGATTCATATTTATAGTCGACAGACTATTTCAAAATGAAAAAGAAAATAAAAATAGAAACTAAAACAAATAAAAGGAAAAAAGATAGTGAAAATAATGATAGGATCATGAATTTCAAACTTAAACAAATTTAAAATTCAAAATACGATCCTGATTTTTGAAATTCATAACACTATCATGATAACGATGCAATCCATAAATGAGAAGGAGAAAAAAGAAAATTCTAAAAAAAACTCCTCACGCTCTCAAAATTCGTGAAGCACACATACTATGTTAAATTAAAGAGAAGTGTCAAAAATGACCCAGAAAAGACCTCCTACAAGCGTTTAAAACGTACCAAATTTATTTGAGATGTCTTAGTGAAAAATCATGGCAATAATAGAAATATTGGACGGTGAATTCCACCAATTTTACTAAATTATTATTTTTATTACAAATTTACTTACAATTAACTTTAAAAAATTGACTACATTTTGTCATATATATTGGTCAATAAAATTTGAAAAATTGAAATACGTGCTAGGATATTTTAAACATTTTCAGTTATAATTAGAAAATTTGAAACTTCACTTTTTTTGTCCAAATCCAATTCAAATATATTCACTTTTTTCGACTTCATTTTATTTTTATTTAAAAATCTTCTTTATTTACTTAAACTCCGTGCCAAGTCAAATCAGGTCATTCTTTGTGAAACAGAAGGAGTACTTAATTACAAGTTTTATAACTAGGAGTAGCAGCAGCATCCTCTGACTGGCCCGCATTTCGCTGTCTTTGTCTTGGTTGGCTGTATTTTCTTCTTTCCTTCTTCTTTTGTCTTCTCTTTTCACACTGTTTCAAAAAAATTTATATATAAATACATTTCTACGTATTTCAGGTAGCCTTCTGCTAAGAACTTAAATCGACATCCATGGAAGAGAGGAATTTCATTCCTGTAAAACGTAGGACCAAAAGTTGTAAAAAAAGGCAACAACAAGTAGAACCTCATAGACTAAAATCCACTTCACATTCTTCTGCTTCTACTTCAACTCAAACTGATCCTTTATCCATGGTTTTATTTCTGTACCTTAATTCCTTTTCTCTTTTTTTTCGGGAGTTTTTTTTGAAATTTTTTTGTGTTTGTTTTGCTTTCAGATTAAGACGGTGCAGTTGGATAGGAAAAAGATGATTCCTAAAAAGCCTAGAAGTGTTAAATCTAAGGCGAAGCAAGTGAGAACATTCAGTTTTTCATTGATGTTTTTTTGTTTTGGTCTAGGATCCAATGAACCTGATGCGTTATTCTATTTGCTATATTGATATTTTTGTGCGTTTTCGATTTGTGCTTGACTTCCGATCTGATTAGGTTTGCCCCTAATTGTTCATGAATGCTTGGCTTGAAATCCATTAATTGGTTATGGATGTGGAAGGCGGAGTTAGGATTTCAACTTTATGCGTTCTGAATTTTATAACGACGATGACTTCAAGTGATGATAATTGTGTTTACAATTTATTATATATACATATGTTTAATGAATTTTTTAAGCACAAATAAATTGTTTGAGCTAAAGCTAATGGGTTCAGCCGAACTCCTATCTGGGTTCGACCTCTGCTCCTACTTGGAGATGGTGGGATTACTATTTTGTTAACGAGTGAGATGAATCCCTAGCCACCAACTGTACACGGTGGTTCTCAAAATCGGTCTGGATGGTAAGGAGATAGGGTAGGCCATTGCACGCTCTGTATGTGTACACTGGTGCAGGTTTCCTCCGTTTGTTCTACTGCGTAATCCTACTTGTACCAAAGATAGGAAAGAGAAGAATGAAGAGGCTCCTTCGAGGAGTCAGAGTGGGAGCCTGCAACTCTAACCTTAACCCATGTTTTATGAAAGATGACTGGGGTCAAGGAATAAACGAAAGGCAGGGAAGATGTAAATGAAAAGGCTCACGGTGGGTGTGTATCCTTTGTACAGCGTAGAGTGCTTACGAGTCTGTGCAGGGTCACTAACTCATGTCTTCTTTCTTTTGTGTATGTATGTGTGTCTCTGCCCATATCCCCTTTTCTCCTGTTTCTTTTATTTCTCCTTGGTGTACTCCTAGTATTTCCTTGGTAAAGTGTATGTGTGGCCTCTATTTCCCCAAATGCTCCTTGGTGTCTGTGTCCCCTCTTGGCAAATAAGTCATAGGTGATATAGTTGCTTATAGTTTGTTGGATAGTTGCTCTGGGTTGGTTGCCTATAATGGTGCTCAATGGTATTCATTCTTCTTGTCTATGATAGACAACTAATTGAAGTTGACAAGACTTACTATGACTTGTTGATGGTGATTGTTCTGCCGTTTAATAGTATGCAAAGGTTTTTAAAATGGTAGTCTGGAAAGATGTGTTTTACTTGTTCCTCGAGTAGAATTATTGTGGTGATTACTTCATATTGAGCCTTAGATTTCCTCACTGATCATTGCTACTTCCATTTCTTGACTTTCTTTATGATTCACTTTACTAATGTTGATTGGATTATATTCGCTCATATACTGACAAGTTTGATAGTTAGAATAAACGTGAGATTAGGTGAAGATACACACAAGAGTGCAAAAATCTAGCTTCATATGAGAACTTAGAAACTCTGTGGTACTTAGTAGATCAGTTGATGCCATGTCGCCAAATATGCTACAAATACAAAATAGATGAACACTTCCCACAGGTTACTGAACTGTTATTTTTATTGTACTAGCACCTTGAGTTATGTTTTCGTTAATTTTTCCTTAAAGTAGTTTTCTGCATGTTACGTGCACTTGGTCTACCTCTTAAAGCAGTAAATTCCTACATGCCTGAACAAATGTCATTATTTATCTTATCATTTGGACATCTGTTAGGATGCAAGGTTTGAGGCTATTGGCTTAAAAATAGAGTGTCACATATAGTTTTTGATGAAATGGTGTGATTCCCTTTTCTTATTGATTGACTATAAATTGTAACAGAAATTTTTGCATTGTCTTACAGGTGAAATCTAATCATCCGAGGAAGGCTGAGAGGTAGGCACTTTATTTGACTTGCTTTTTCTCTTTCCTACCCCCAAATCTCCACTTTTCTCTCTTTCTTGATGGTTACTCATAAGTAAATTTCTGAATCTGTTGAATTCATAGCATTAAACGTAAGGGGTCAAAGAGGACAAGGATTAATGACCTTTATGATGATGTTGAAGCTAAATATTCTGTTATGGAGCGAGCAGAAAAGGTTTTATCACGCCTACCAGATGAATTTCCCAGCTTTGCAAAGTGTATGCTCCCTTCGAATGTTGCTCATGGATTTTGGCTGGTAAGTCTGAAATCATATAACCTCTTTGCAGCAAAAACTTAGTAGAGATAGAATCTAAACAATTTTTCTTCTTCTTCTAACTTCATTCCTTTTTGCAACGGTAGCATCTTCCAAAGTCATTCTGCAACATGCATTTACCTAGTTCTGATACCACAGTCATTTTGGTTGATGAATGGGGCAATGAGTACAAGACAAGCTATCTTCTAGAACGGAATGGTTTAAGTGCTGGTTGGAGAGGATTTTCCATCTCTCACAGACTACTTAAAGGAGATCTTTTGATTTTTCGCTTGATTGAACCTTGCAAAATGAAGGTAACCTTTCAAATTCTTGATACCTACATAGTTAAGCCTAAACTTTTCTTTGTTATTGGAGGAATGGAGATATTTTGTTTCATCTAATAAAGATGACCTCTTAGACTTGCTTGTAATTTTACTTTTAATGTTTGTATATAATATTTATATTGAGTTTGGTAAAGAGGCATCTATAATAATTGTTCAAAAATTGAAAAAAGTAGAATAGTTAATTATCGATTTCATGTTGAGTTTAAATAACATTAACTTACTAAGTACTTTATATTGGTTATAAAAGATAATACTTCATCTTACTGCTATGTTTTTGGTGTAATCAAATTTATTCTAATGATACTGTGTCTATCATAGATGTTCTAGATTCTTTATAGCTAGAAAGGAAAGACACTAGAGCTCTATTGTAAATATGGTTTCAGTACTACCCAAGTACTGTTTTGATCCTTGAAATGATACAAAGTTACTGATTTCAAAGAAAGATAATACTTACTCTGACTCAATTTATATGACACTTTTCTTTTTAGTCGGTCCCAAAACGAATAAAACATTTCTAGCAAATATTTATAATGAAATTATCAACATTTTACCCATATTGAGTCCTACTTGTTTGGCAAAAAGCCCACAAAGGTGTACTATTCAAGGGTAGTATTGGAACATTGCAAAATCTTTCCATTTTCTTCAACTCTATGCCCAGTCAAACTACATCACATAAATTAGTAGAGGGAGTACTAACTTTATATAAGTTTGCCTTCTTGGTTGGGGTGGGGGATTTTCGACTCAAGGAATTGGCGGAGAACAACAACATACCTAGTGTAATCCCACTTGGGTTTGAGGAGAGTGGTTTGTACACAAACCTTATCCCTACCTTGTGTAGGTAGAGAGCTTGTTTCCGATAGACCCTCATCTCAAGTAAAACATGGGGAAAAAAAAGAAAGTAGCAACAACAAATAATACGATATCGAAGCAAAGGAAACAACATGTAATAAAGAAAATCGAAGAAAAGATAACAGAGGGTAGTAGTAATAATATTGATAAAGAAAACTAGACAATGCTCAACTACCTACTAACCTTTGACTAATCATTGTCCATATCCTTCTATCTAGATGCATGTCCTCGTTAAGCTGCAAGTATATCATGTTTTGTCTAATCTCCTTTCTCACATATTTCTTCTGCCTGTCTAACTTCTCCTCAGACCCACCATGGCCAACCTTCCACAACTTCTTACTAGGGCATTTATACATTTGCTCTTCACATGCCCGAATCATCTCAGTCTCACTCTCTGATCTTGTTCACCATAGACGTCACTCTCACCTTGTCTCGAATTTCATCGTTCCTAATCATATCTCTCCTTGTATATGCCCACACATCAATCTCAACATCCTCATTTCTGCTATTTTCATCTTCTAGACGTGCGGGTTCTTAACTGGTCAACCGCCTCATACAATATAATTGATCTAACAACCTCTTTATAAAACTAATCTTTATATCTTAGTGACACATTCTTATCACACAAGACACCATATGTGAAACTTCATTTCATCCACCCTGCTTCAATACTATGTGTACCACCAAATCCGATGTCCCAATGCTAGATCTTCCAAAATCTAGCTAGATTTAACATAAGGGTCTAATTTGCTGATGGGCCCTACTTGTTATTGGCTATTGGCAAAATAAATATTGAAATCCATTTTTGACTATGGATTAATTTTGGCCAAAAAAGGTCAAAGTTGCAGCCAAGGCTGACAGGTTAGGGGGTAAAACTCAGCATAAGTTCTGCTTCTTGCAAAATTAAGGTTGTAGAATATGATAATTTTACTGGCTACTGATTGATTATCTTGCGAGTTAAACTTGACTTGATTGCTTCGACAGTTTTTGAAAGAACTCGTGGATTTTTGGCAATGAAAATGATAGAAGGTAAATTGAGGCGGGAAAGCAATAGGAAGTCTAATTTTTTTAGAATCTGTGATAGTATGATTAAGTGGGGCTCTTTTAAACTCTTACGATCCTTCCGCATGTATGCTCAACCACAATAACCTTAAGAAATAGGTTTCATTTATGTATTTTCTGATTATTAAGAATGATGTTTCTAGGTCTATATAGTCAGAGTAAATGGTCAAGAAGTGGTAGATGCAGCTCTTTGCCTCATGAATTGGGAAACTCTGAACACATCAACAGAACTTGGTAATTTTGTCCTTTCTGCTTGTCCACCTTTATTGCTTTAAAGGTAGAGGATATCCAGATTTGGTTGTTGATCTCCCTTCTTCTTTCTTTGCTTCTTGTTTTGAATGAGAAGATCTTGTACGGAAAGATAATAGGAAGCGAAAGAAAGCAAAGCATTTGGCAGAGCCTTTTTTCGTTGATTTATCTAAACCAAAAGAGCATGTTCAGAATGACAGCCATTGTGCTGTTGATTTAAATGTTTCACCTTCAGAGCATCGATCTGAAAATAACAGTGAAGATTTGGATTCGGAGGTTCTAGAAGGTATGAAACACTCTTAACTCCATTGCATTATAAATGTATTTGGAGACCACTATGATGTGCAAAGGTCATTGCAGGTTCGGATGTGACCAATCGCTTGCAATCTAATGAAATATGCTGCTCCGAAACATCATTTTTACATGATAATCCTCACAAGAGCATAGCTTGTAGGTAGAGATGGCGGAGGACTCTGACCATTCGTTTGAACTAACAAGTTCTATCATGAGAAGCTGTGAAGAATTACCATAAAGAACAACTTATAGTTACCTCAGAAGTAAAAAGAACCAAAAGTTTTTGATGAATATATATATATGACAAAGGGCTGGAATGAAGCCGAAGTGAAGATCTTTTTTGGATGTATAATGCTTTTGTGCTTCTAAAAATTATACTACTTAATACCTTGTCCTATAGGTTTGAAAGATGTAATTTTGAGATGATAGCGTATGATATGTACACTTTTCATATTTGTACATAGACGCACACAGGAAATGTAGTTTGCATATCTGCACAACTGTACTAATCAATGAGTTTCTTTTATTCATTTGAAATTTACAAATTCAAATTTGTTCGAAATTCGTGTTTTACTTTGTATTTCTCGTTAGGTGATATGTAGTTGAGTTGAGGATTTTTCAAAAACTCTCTATCTCCATGAGATAGTTACGGTCTGTACACACTCTGCACTCTTCAAACTCCACTAGTAAGAATATATTGGATATGTTGATGTAGTTAGAGTAATAAAATCCTTATTACGTGTCTCACACCACTGATACTAATTTTATGGCATCTCTTTTTGGTCTCAGGAAAAAGTGAACTCAAATCTTTTACTTTTGAGTCCACTTTTTTTGTGAGACAAAAGTTTTTTTTTTTTTTTTTTTTGTGAATCTTTGTCTTGCATTACTTGTTTGAGAAAAAAAAAGGATTAATACTAATACTGTCCAATGAGACATATCACCAATTCACCCTACTTTTTTATTATTCAATTTGATATTATATATTGATGATTAATTATTTAATTCTTTAATTAGAAAAAAAGATCAAAATAGAGAAAAGATTTTAAAATAAGTGTAATTAATAGATTAAAGAGAGGAATTTAAGAAAATGAAATAAATATCAATAATTGATAATAAAAGTTAAACTATATTTTTTACAAATACTTTTGTCAAAAATTAAGGGGGAAAATCAAAATTTTAGGAAAAAAGATAAATAATGAAGTTGCCCATAATTTCACCTTACTTTTTATTGTCCAGTTTCAATAATATATATATATACATGGATTTTTATTTTTTTTTAAAAGGAAAAAATATAATTAATAAATTGAAGAGAGGCATTTAAGGAAATGAAATTAGGAAAGTTAATATATTCTTTAGAAGTTTTTTTGGTCAAAGCTTAATATTATAAACATAGTATAGTTTGTATGATTAATTATTTTTAATTAGAAATAAGAAAAAAATAGAGAACGATTTTTTAAAAAAGTGGAAAAAGTAGAATTAATAGATTGAAGATAGACATATAAGGAAATGAAATGAAAAATGGAAAAAAGTATAATTAATAATTGAAGATAGACATATAAGGAAAATTAATAAGCAAAACTAAATATTTTTTACAAGGTAAAAGTTCAAAATTCTAAGAAAATAAGTAAATAGTGATGTTGTCATCAAATATGTCACCTTACTCTTTTATTGTTTAGCTTTAATTATTATATGTAACAAAGACTCTTTACATGTCTTACAAAAATTAACTATTCATAACTCACCCCTCTCTAATTACCACTCTTAATTAAAAAAAAATCTTTTTCTTTTGACATTTTTCTAATTATTAAATGACAATATATTTTAAGTATTTTTCTTTATTTGGGAATTTAGATTGTTTGCTAAAAATACTAATCAGACAATAACAAGTTATATAATCAAACAATAATTGTCAAGTTTTTTCCTAAATATTTTTTTGACAATATCTATGGTCAAACATGTCCCTAATTTCATGTCCAAACAAATTTCTTCAAATAAATAATTATATTCAATTTAGTAAAAAAGAAAATATTATTAAAACTTATTATCTAATCCAAAAAACAAAATTTAATAAAAAAGGATATTTTATCAAAACTTATGGTCTAATCCAAAATTTTAGATATTAGTGCAAGTATTATGTTCGAGTCTAGAGCGCTAGTGGCATTTGAAATTCAAAATATACAAAGTGGAGCCAAACGAGGCATTGTTATATTTTTTTCTCCATAAATCGAGGGTTTTAAACTATCCTTTGCAGCCTCTTTGTCCGATCATCTTCTTCTTTCCCCCCTCTCTCTCCTTCTACTTCCTAGTTTTGTTGAATCGTTTTCTGCTTTCTCTAACCAGAAAAATGGCGGAATTAAAGAAGAAGTTAACTTACGAAGAATGCCGATTGAAGAGAATCGAAGAGAACAAGAAGAGATGGCAAGAGCTGAAGCTAACTATGCTCGCTGAAGATGTTCACAACGCTACGAGCCCTAAGCCCTCTCCTGTATGCCTTTCTTTCTATCTCTGTGTGTCTCCCTCTTTTCTGCTTGTAGTTTATGTGAATGCACCTTGAATAGAGCGGAATAGATATAGACGATGTTTACTAGTTTAGGAATGAGGTGTAATTGATTGATCTATTTATCGTGTACTGATTCGCTTAAATGTGATTTTGGGGATTTTAGATGAAGAAGGTGAAGCCGACGGTTAGACAGGAGGTTGATCGCTCTGCTGTGAGAAGGTCCAATCGTGTTGCGGATAAGCCTCCTCCCAACTATAAAGAAGTAAGCTATTTCCTTTCTCTGTATCTTACTACTGTTTCCTTTGGACTTCGTTTATTCAATTTTTTCCCCCGACCTAGTATATTAGAAGTGTTTTCCACTTATTCCGGCGTAACTTGAACCATAAATAGGAGATAGATGTGGTTTTCCACTTAGTATCTTTCATGTATACTTTAAATGAGCATTTATTATATAGCTATGTGTCTAAAGAACCATATGCAACTCAGGTGCCATAAATCTAATTGTCACATCAGCCATAAGTCCCATAACATTCCAGTCCAGACACTCTACCTGGCTTAGTGGTAAACCACTTCTATCTCCTATTTACGTTACCAGTTCCAAAAAAAGAATATAGTAGATAATATTTTGAATCATCCATGTTGATCATTGTGCCTTGACATGCTTGCCATCGTCATGGTAATTTTGTATCATCTATACCTGTGCAAATGAACATTTTTAGTGGGTGTTTGGATTGAATTACTCTAAGTAGCTTTTGGCTTTTTAAGTTCTTTTTTATTTTAGTTTAGTTAGTGTCGGAAATTGTTTATACCTTTTTGTTGTATAAGCATGTAATGGAACATTGCTCACCTAATACTTCTTTATAGTCTATGAGTGTGTTGGGTATGAACTATGAAGGAAAATGTTTTCCCTTGAATTTGATTTCTTGGAAAATGTTTCTTACTTATTTTCTATTATTTGGTAAGTAAGCAAGAAAAAATATTATCCCAAGGACAATTATATGTTATTTAGCAAAGCACTATGGAGGTGGAATGAGGTGGGGATTGGGCGGTGGGATGGTCAAGGGGTGGGAGTTGGGTGGATTAGGTGGGTGGGAGGAGATAATAAATTTGGAATGTCACTTGTACAACTTGTTATCCCTACTTCCATTTTGGAAGACATTTTCCTCATTTTTAAGGAACTTATTTTCCTAAAGAAAATATTTTCCAAACATGGGAAAAATGATGTTTTCCTCCATACCAGACACACCCTATATTGTGGGTGTATATTCCTTTCATTCGTTTGGGTTGCTCTGTCATAATCAACACTATAGTTGTTGACATGGAAATCTCTGTTGAAAGGGGAATTCATAGTTGGCCATGTGAGAATACATGTTGCGGTAGATATAGTCCAACATTCAGGATTCTTTGTCCTAGTGTTTTATTTATCGTATCAAAGAATAGTCGAATTGAAAATTGTTTGCGAACAAATTTGAAAGGATATCCCTCATTTCAGGTGGTGGAAGATAATTTTTCGAAATGCACTTGCTTGCCATCGGATTGTTAGATTGTAATTTTTGCATGTATGATGTTGTTGAACCTTGTGGCGATCCATTCGTGAGTCATTGCGTAATTCGTCTGAAGGATCCAAATTCCTAAGTAGCATGATTGGCACATTTTCTACACATTACCTGTGTGGTGGATGACCATTTGGTGTTAAAGTATTCATGTATTTTTCTTGATAGTGTCAAAACATATAAATACTTTGCTATTGGGAAATTTCTATACCAACATCTCGTTTAGTTGATCCACATATTCCTTTCAATTTGCTAAGTTTTGCCCCATTAGTTATAAACTTTGGCATTTTGGTGTAGTGACGGGAATATTTCTAATATTTAGCTTTCCTATGTAGTGGTATCACCTTTGTGTTTGACAACCATTTCTTCTGGTATTAGTATCAAACCATTCTTTAATGTTTGCTCTTCCTCGTTTCCGACACGGAGTAAGAAGTCACTGGATTTGGGATCCACTAGTGTTATTAAATGCAAAAAGCACAAAAAAGCTCTAAGGTCCATGGGGCTTTAAGCACTAAAGGCAAATAAAGCGTTGACTTTAATGAAAAAGGCACAAAGGGAGAAAAGAATACAAATATATATGTTTAGTCCAAGACTAATAATTATAAACATGAATGACAAATATATGACCAAAGAAATTGAAATTTTTTTATGACCGAATGAAATATTAATTATTTAGTGTCACTTCTTCATAAAAGGCTCATTGGCAAGTAAACATTTGCCTTAGAACCTTGATGACAACACTGAAGTGCACATAAAGCAAGGCAAAGCGCTCAACACGTTTTGAGCCTTGCTTCAGGGCTTTAGCGCGCTTAAGGCGCGCCTTTGATAACACTGGATCCACACTTGCTCGCATATGTCTTGAAGTGGATTTTCTCCATCAAAGGCCACAAATAATATCTCACCTAACTAGCATTAAATGTCTCTGATCGTGTAGATTTAGGAACTGGAAGTACTTGCCGAAAAATCACTTTCGAAGACCATGGCTTTTCCACCAAACGATTGATTGACATCCATTATATCTCTAAAGCTCCTATCATTTGTTTTAATTGTGTGACACTTGGCAATGGGTGCTTCGTCCCATATTATTATTTTAGTTGCTCGTATCAACTTAGCATCTCCACTTTGTGTTGACATTTGCACCATACTTGTATTAGCGTTATCAAAGGCGAAAAGCGCAAAAAAGTTGTAAGGCCCATGAGGCTTTAAGCGCAAATAAAGTGTGGGCTCAAAGGGAGAAAAAAATACAAATATATATATATTTGTTTAGTCCAAGACTAATAATTATAAACATGAATGACAAATATATCGTCGCACCAGGCTTGCCTAGTGCAGGTTACCTCTCCTATGTGGTTTGCGAGCTATTGCATAGGAGCAGGGGTTTTACCCTGTGCGCACCCAAAGGATAGCGGCTGCGGGTTTTCCTTGTCATAAAAAATATATGACCAAAGAAATTGAAAAACAATTATGACAAAATAAAATATCAATTGTTTAGTGTCACTTCTTTAGTAGAGGCTCATTGAACGTCCGTCTTAGAACCTTGATGCTGACACTGAAGCGCACATAAAGTGAGGCGAAGCGCTCAACACATTTTGAGCCTTGCTTCAGGGCTTAAGTGCGCCTTTGACTGCACTGACTTGTATCATTTGTTTGTACTGGTATGTCAAATCTTGAGTGAGTGGTACAGCCTCTTGGTAATATCGCAGCTACTACACCACTTGTTATAATTGCCTGTGCTTCATACCCCTTGACTTGATATTTGCCAGAATGCCCGATATAGATATGTTTTTCCAGTTCCCAAGGTACAATATAGATATATAATAGAGAATTAGTTTATTTTTAAATGTCATTTATCCATTAAATTTAAGCTATAAATAAATTACCAATAGCCATTTGTAATCATTCTGTGTATGATTGAATTAGAACAATTCTTGTATAAAATTTGCTTCTCAGGTGTGCCTGTGCTTTCTCTAGAAATTGAATCTGCATTTGGGAGATGTTTGTGTGCGTCCAAGCTGTGGGCACCTCAGGTAGTTTAGTGAGTGTTTCAAAATTAGGGAATCAAAATTTAAGGTGATAAACCACGAAGTCATTTAATGGTAAAAGCTTGTATGAATATGTGCATGCACATTTATACCATGGGTTTAGATGTGTATGGTTTATATTCATTGTATCCAATAAGTAAATGTGACTCATATAGTGTGTCATAAGACAATAAATGTTTACCTTGCAAGTGAACTGGACTCTGAAATTCGAAGATGGGAGTATCTTGAAGGGGCCTGAAGAATTCAATCTGTAATTAAAGTTTACAATGAAGGTGGATTTTGTTTAAGATTTAGCTACAGCGACAAAGTTGGTAAGCTTAGAGGATGCATGTGTCTTTAACTAAATGTCTAGAAAGTCTAGCAAACCTTTAAAAGCCTCACATTAATCCTAAAGTGTGTTGCTTTTTTTTCCTTCTGTTTTGTGTGGCAGTAAGTGTGCCATGTTTTGCAGTTGAAAATGGTAGACGATCGTCGAACCTCCAAATCGGGGGTTTATGCATAGTAGAAATTAGTCTTCGGTAAGAAAGAATTCCAAAGCACAAAAGTTAGCAAGTCCTAAGGCTGCGGGTATCCTTAACAAAATGGATTAAAATTCTATCTAACATTTAAAAGGTTGCATCAATCTAGAACTTGTAATAAAATTCAGAGTTGGTAATATGAAGGATATGCAATAGTTATTGCTCAAATGTACCAAACTCTGAAAGTCAAAGATCATAAGACTTCAGAAGCAGTCGATAGAAAATATATCTAGCATTTAAAAGCTACCATCAATCTAGTACTTGTATTAAGATTTAGAGTTGGTAATTTAAAAGCGCCAAGTGTGGCAGTAAGTATGCGTGCTAGGTTTTGCGGTTGAAAATGGTTGATGATTGTGGTAGCTCCAATTCGGTGGTTTGTGCATAGTAGTAATTAGTCTTCGTGAACGAGGACTTTAAAAGCAATAAAGTTGGTAAGCCATGAGGATGCGGGTATCCTTAGCTAATAGGATCAAAAAGCTATCAAGCCTTTTTTTTTTTTTTTTGATAACCGAGAAATCCGTCTGTGAGCTATCAAGCCTTTTTTAGGCTGCATCTATCTAGAATCTGGATTAAAATTCAGAGCTGGTAATAAGAAGGAAATTTAGTAGTTATCTGCAAGTGTAGGACTGGTCGAAGATGGTAGTATGGGTAAGCAGGAAAATGAGTAGTTACTTATCAAGTCAGGTAGACTTGAAAAGCAATAAAGTTGGTAATTCATGAGGATGTGGGTATCCGTTATAAAAAGGAAAGGTTCCAGAATCTAGATAGCATTTTAAAGTATCATAATAATTGAAATGTGCCTTGGGATGGAATGTTATTCAAGATTATGGATGGGGGAAGGGTATTGATGTTTGGACATAAGAGGTTAGTCTATCTGAGTTCATAGGGGAAATTAAAAGCATTCAAGCGCAGGTATTCACTATCTAGCTTTATGTAGCAGTTTTGACTTAACACTTTGCTTTTGACGGAGACAGTTGTCGCTAGCTGCATCCGGAGTAAAGCAGATGGTAGATGCCTTCAAATCGGAACAGATGAATGGGAATTGAATTACGCAGAAAGTTTGATTCTCCTGTTTGTAGTTGGCATTTGAAGAACTGACACAAAAGGAATTGTGTAGCGTATCGGAGGAGTTGCCACTAAACAGGGGAGCAGAGCTGAGGGGGTATTGCGGCTCTTCAGGCTGATACGAACGGGTAGCAAGTTTATTTTAGTTATTAGAGCTTTTAAGTGTAATGGGGAGAGTAGATTAGTAATTAAAAACTTTAAGTTAGAGGGCTTTCCACTTTTAATGTGTTCGGTATGCATGAAACTTTCAATTTTTTCATGTTCAGTTAGTCAAAATTCCTGAAAAACTAGATCACTAAAAATGAGGAAAACGACCTCCTTAATGGAAGTATGAAAAAGATAAGTTCCGTAAGTGACAATTCCACGTTAATTGTGTCCTCCTTCCTCCAACACGTCTCATCTTCACTGACACTCCCTATCCCCACTATCACACCCCTACTTCCCCACCCCCACCTCTCGTAGTGTTTGTCTAGATTATATGCAAATGCTTTTTTACTTACATACTAAGCACAAGAAATAAATAGGAGACCCACTTATTTTACTAGAAAGCATTTTCCTTCTTACCAAACGCACATGGTATGAATTTTTGATTGATTCGTGTTCCTTCTCGAATAAATTTCTAGCTACATAGTATTCAATAATACTGTGCCACTTTCTATATAGTTCTACTATGTTTCATTATTGCTTTCCCTCTAATTGATATATCAATCATAGTAATGTATGTATATCTTGATTCTGGCAGGTTCTTATTGAACCTTTGGGACGACCAAGGAGGTTTGACTCCTGAAGAAAAATTTCTTTTTTACTTGAGTATTCAGTGATGCATTTTCAATGTGGGCCTAAAATGTGACTTTCTGGTTTACAGCTACAAGCGAAAAGATTTGTTAAATCGCGTCTATGCTGCAGATGAAGATAGGCAGTATGCTATAGGAAGAGCAGAGCAGTTGCAATCAGAGTTTGATGCTGATTTCCCAAGTTTTGTGAAACCTATGCTGCAATCACATGTAACTGGTGGGTTTTGGCTGGTAAGCGAAAGAAAATGATATCTGTTACCTTTGTCAAAAAAAAAAAAGTGAAAGAAAATGATAAACTTGCTGAATGGTATTCTTTGAAAAGCTATTAAGTTTTTCACTTAAGAGTTCTTTCTGAAAGCTTGTAGCACTGTAAGACTTCAGCACTTCTTTAAGTTACAGTTCTTGTCTATCCAAACTAGTTTGGGGTGAGGTATAGCTTATTAATTTCAAGTATGGTTCGTTCTTTCTAGGGTCTTCCTGTTCATTTTTGCAAGACACATCTCCCTAAACACGACGAATATGTTACCTTGGTTGATGAGAATGGAGATGAATTTCAAACAAAATACCTTGCGTTGAAGACGGGCCTGAGTGGTGGATGGAGGGGGTTTGCCCTTGATCATGAATTAGTTGATGGTGATGCACTAGTTTTTCAGTTGGTTGCGCCAACAAGATTTAAGGTAAAATGAGAATGTTATGTACCGTCATTGCATATTTTTTCAACAAACAAATCTATTTCTAAATACATCTGAAATATATAACTGTACTCTCTAGATTAGGACACTGCCTCAGGCTTTGAATCCTACATGGTTTCTCTACTTGGAATTTCAGGTTTACATCATAAGGGTTAATCAAGCGGAAGATTAGGAGACAAAAGATAATGAAATGAATCAAGTAAGCAATTTCATCTCAAGAGATTTTTGCTGTAGAATTTTACGTTTTGCAGTGTAGGGTAACTACAGGACTTGCATCGCGAGCGAATAGGAATCCACATTTTAATCCGCTTTGACAAATTCCCTTTGATGATTGATCGGAAACTGTGTGCCAAATCATATAAGAAAAAAGTACCATTTCTTATGTCAGGAAGTTAGCTGAGATCTCCATGTCTGATTCAAAGTAAGGTCAACCGATGGTTGATAGGCCATTCCCTCCCTATCTGTGTCTTGTTCCATCATGCGGCCAATCTGTTATTACTGACTTATTCGAAGGCGTAGATTCTCCATTTCTGTGTTATTAGCGCTGGAGCTCTCTGAATCATGCTGGATACTATCCTCATCCTCTTTGATTTAAGTTGTTTATCTGCCCTCAACATTCACACCTAGAAGAGCTAAAATCTAGTTCATGATGAGGAAGAGAAACTCCTCATTCTTAAATGATATTGGGTACTAATGCTTCTTTTTTTCCGTGTGATTGGCAGGGAACAAAAATGTCATACACCTGAGTGTAGCTTTTGGGATCACCCTTCTCTCCTTGTAGATGTCTAAATTATTTAGGAACCTGGAGCAAGCATCACTGTAATTATTATTGCTGCTTGAGTACTCCTTTGACATTATAACTTAGTACTAATGCCGAAAATCAACCATGCGACTCGTATGGTGCAATAGTTTTTGTTCATCCTGGAGCTTTTCCTTTTAGTTTACAGGCTGTATTTAGTCCTAGTTATTATTTATCTAGGTCATTTATAAATTTATGGGACGTCTCTGATTTTGTCTGATATTCCCGACGGACAGCAGTATGTTAACTAATGGGTGTTATGGGACATTCAAATTTTACAAAACATTAAAAGGGAGATTGAAATTCAAGCAGGCAAGTCTGTTTTATAATTTTGAGTCTTCTACGCAAATAGGTTGAAAATAAATACTTGACACCTTATAACAAGTTTGAGAACTGTTTTACAAAACGAATGCAATTCCATATTTGTCATTGTACAGTGCACCTTGCACAACAAGGCTACCATATACTTTCAGAAGTGATTATTGCATCTTGAATTCTCCTTGGATCCGGATATAGTTGTTTTCCTTGTCTACTTAGAGTTTTGCAGGTTGTTGAGCGTATGTCGGGTCAACGCAAACGACAACCTAAGTGGTTTTTCACATCACAAAAACGGATAATAAATAAGAGATGCAGAAGTACTGAAATCAACAACAAAAAAAATAGTAATAATCAAACGCCTTTCTCTCATACCTTTCCAGCACTTTCACCAGAATGAAGGTACTCAACAGCATCGGCAACTGAATGTAGGCCAACAAATTGTTTGGGATCTATACCAATCTTCAAAACATAGATGAACAGATAATTGTTAGTACTTTATTAGCCAAACCACTCTTTGAAGTACACAAGATAAATTCATCAAGAATGAGTGGATAATAATCAGTTCTATAACAAATCCAACTCAACTTCTTCAAACGATGGTAGTAGATAGGTTTGAAATTTGTTCCGGCAAAAATATACCAACCTTAAGCTTTCCAGAAGAGAAAAGATTAACCAGTCTATCCAAATGCTCTTGCCATAGGTGAGCATATTGTATCAGGAAAAACCCAGCCTGAGAACAAACTCACACAACCAAATTAGCAAAGGATGATACAAATACCATGCACTTGAAAAACATGACATCCAGACAGAGCTAAGCACGCTTCTATAAAATAGTAAAAGGCAAATTAAGCAAGATGATCACAAGCAATGCCAAAAAATCCTATTTGAGATCCACAAACGAGGATCTGACAACATATATCCAAATCTCTTAGGACATGGAAGAAACTTCTTTACTAACACTACTTCTTTGGGTAAAGTTAATAATGTAGGTAGTCATCAGAGTCGCATCTGACCAGGATACCTCTCTATTGTCATCGAACAATATAGAAGGTTCTCTATGGAGATACAACATAACACCAAATATGGGGGGACAAAGAGGGAACCTTCTTCCTCCATTGTCGTCAAAGATCCAAATGACATAAAATAGGTTTTTCGCTCATCGTAGAGCTTTGAATTCCCTAAGAGATCTTCTTTTTTAACTGACTCACTCAAAAATCTACAAACTTCTCATTCCAAATCAATTAAAAATTTTAAAAATTAAAAATGCAGCAGTTTTATGGTACAACCAATTCAATTTTTCAGCAAGAATCTCCTAGTGTTTCGAAGAGCAGAGAGGTCAAACTGTTATTGCTCAATCAGTGAATTAGTTACAACAGTTCCCCAGCTAACTGAACTTCCCTTCCTTACCTACGCATGACTCACGTGCAATTTTCTCTTATTTTTGGGGTTACAATCAGGGCCTTTACAAATAACCCCCTCTTGGTAATCATCCTTGAGGATGAAATGTGGTGATGGAAATTTAGCTCTCATAAGGGACAACTGCAAAATTGTGTTTAACCCTGAAGAAAATAGGCGACTAGTGTAGGATTCCTGTTTATGCTCTTGATCCTTCTGGTCATCGTGATGGAGAGACGGCGTTAGCTAGTTTAGAGTCTAGATAAGAGATTGCGAAGTGTTTGGATTATTCTGGAAGGCAGCGAAAACATATTGGAGTAATGGTTAGACAGAATGTTGATCCAAAAACAGTAAATGTTGCTACTGAACTAAGCATTATGTATGCAGTTTTTCTGGAACTCATCAGGTGCAGACTATCTACACCAATATCTGTGTTTTCATTGACGTTGGTACTCGAAGCTTCACCACTCGCCAAATTTGTTCCTGTTAGGAACTATGCTAGCATGCTCTTCATTTCCTACAAAAAATGTACATGCTCCCAAGCTAGGTCAGCCATGGATTTCTTAACAACATCAATTTCTAGTTGGATTTTTGGTAGTTGATATCCTTCTCCATGGCTGCCATTGCTGTCCAAGAATCGATACTCTGATAATATTGTCACCAATTCAAATTTGTAGCAAGAATCTCCTAAAGAACCAAGGAAGAAGGGTCCCCGAACAGAGATCTAGTTTTTCAAAGAATAGGAGGAGAGATCAGAGAGAGAGAGAGCACTTATAACATGATTCCGTTAGATTTCTTGATCTTCTATACTAATGACAATAATTGACTAGAGGTGGCATCTAATGAAGAAGAAATTATAATAAAATTCCCTTGAATTTATGTTGATGCGGATCCATTTCAAATTAACCTATCAAACTCCCAGAACTGGGTATGATGATTCAACAACAACAACAACAACCCAGTAAAATCCCACTAGGTGGGGTAATCCCACTAGGTGGGGTAGGGTATGATGATTGATTATGTATAAAATTTTGCAACCTCTTTCCATTCCCAGTCTGGGAGTTCCTGAAGATAGGTCCAAGAGCACTTGGTTTTCATCCCTCCTTCAGAGTTCAGCTACTGTGGCCTCTTTATCTAATCAAAACTAAACTGGGGAACTCATCTTCTAACCTTTCAGGGCCGAATTCCAGAACCATAACTCAAACCTAAACCAGATTTGGTTGCTGATTGCTGTTACTAACATCAAAAACGAATGAGCAATCCTTGATCATCTCACCATAAAATATCCATTATGCTTCCCTTCCCAGAAAACCACCCATACAATCAGCACCCACTTCCCGATGGCTTGTTTGAAGATGCATATAACTAAGCATCCTTCTCATATGGGGTTGTTGCCCTTTAGGCTTTACCACCAGACCAAATGAAATCAAACATACAGATTAACGTGAAGAGTGTTATGCGTTAGTAATCAAGCATGAAAAATAAAAGTCACAAGATCTAAAACTCATACTTTAGTTGTTCTATAACTTGAGTGAAAATTCATAATTGCAATCAGCACATTCATGATATGATACTGTGTAAGGAACATATTAGATCACTGAAACAACAGACAGCAAGACATACCACCGTTTGACTTTTCGCTAGAAGCTTTTCACAAATTCCAGTGTAATTCCGAGGTTTCCACCCATGTTCTCCTTGATACTGAAACCAGAACTTAGTGAGTTGGCTTTCAAAGTCAAACTAACAAGATAGGTGTGTTGAGACACCAATAGAAATTGTATTTCTAAGAGATCATCACAGCAGCCAACAAGAAAGAAGAAAACAAGATTAAATCACCCAAAGAAGAATAAGAGTGTGCATCTATGAGAAGTTCACCTGAGAAATCATTCCAATGACAACAAGTCGTCCATAGACAGCCAATGCATTCAAGCAAATGTCAAACATCTCACCACCAACGGACTCGTAGACAATATCAGTACCTTTAGGGAACTCCTTCTTTAAAACCTGGTAAAGGAAAAATGTATATACAACTAATTATAAAACTTACCTCTAATCTGAAACTAAGACATCATTTGCTCACCCATAAAATCAGAACTACAGCAAACATTTAAGAACTTGTTTCAAAAAGGATTGACAAGCAAAATAAAACAGCGTACCCACCCTTAGCAAATACTGCACTAGGTACTCATGTTTTGCTGCTAATATATCTACATGGTAATGGTCAACTTGCACTCTCCACCCACTACAATGTTCAAAATTCCATTTCATGAACTTAAAACATCACAGAATCAACCTCGCATGACACTCTGTTTCCACATATTGATTTTATTTTTACACATGTTCTGGGCCCTTGAGGAAGAAACGTTACAACAAATGAGACTTCTGTATATAAAGCGTAGTGTGACAGACACTCATCTATATCAATGAGCTCTGGGTTAGTGATAGTAGTGAGAGAAATTCAGCTCCTCGGAACAAAATATTCTACCCATGACGGCTGGTGGTGAAGGTGTACTATGATGATATTCCTTTTCAACAGTGAGGTGACAACACCAATTGATCAATCAACAAACTAAGTCTCAGTCCCAGAATTATTGGGGTCAGATATACAAAACCTTATATCCATTCCGCTCTATTCAGGTCCATTTCACTCAGCTACGACATGACTTATTTTTAAGGTAAATTAGTGATTCTGTGAAACTAGAGGTTCTTGAAAGATCCCCATTCAACAACTCTTTTCCCATTAAGGATTTTGACATTTATAAGAACACCCTGGAGGGGTTCCATGCCTTTCCTCAAAGAATTTTGAGGCATTACATGCTTAGTTCAATGCAATAACACTTGAATGACAAAACTAATAATATGATATTTACCCAAGACAACATCGTGCAAGTTATAAGCACATATAGCCAGTGAGTTTGAGAAACTTAACAGATTTTATATCTTCCACTTTGTAGTCAATGGCTCGATCGACTCCCAAATCCTTAAGAAGCTTAGCCTTTACATAACCTCCACAAGTTGCAATTACTGTGTTTCCAGCTAATTTTGCGAGCTTCCGTAGCAAATAGTTCAGTATGTGTTAGTAACCTTAACAATATGACAATGAGAAGTAACAGTACAATACAATATATATATCTATCTATCTATATTACCTTAAAAGCATGGACTCCTAACTTGAATGTTAAATTACTATAATATCCCTAACTTAGGTTATGACTTTTTCGATGAGTTGTGACTTTTCCTATAAGTTGTGATTTTTTTCAAAGGGTTGTGATTTTTCGATGAGTTGTGACTTTTTCAAAGGGTTGTGATTTTTCGATGAGTTGTGACTTTTTCAAAGGGTTGTGATTTTTCGATGAGTTGTGACTTTTTCAAAGGGTTGTGATTTTTCGATGAGTTGTGACTTTTTCAAAGGGTTGTGATTTTTCGATGAGTTGTGACTTTTTCAAAGGGTTGTGATTTTTCGATGAGTTGTGACTTTTTCAAAGGGTTGTGATTTTTCGATGAGTTGTGACTTTTTCAAAGGGTTGTGATTTTTCGATGAGTTGTGACTTTTTCAAAGGGTTGTGATTTTTCGATGAGTTGTGACTTTTTCAAAGGGTTGTGATTTTTCGATGAGTTGTGACTTTTTCAAAGGGTTGTGATTTTTCGATGAGTTGTGACTTTTTCAAAGGGTTGTGATTTTTCGATGAGTTGTGACTTTTTCAAAGGGTTGTGATTTTTCGATGAGTTATTGTGACTTCTCGGAAAAATCATGATTTTTCAGATAATATTGGTTCATACTACCCTTTGATGACTATAAATAGAGAGGAACCCTCTCAATTTTCCACCACAATTTTTTTAATCTTCTACTCTTCTTTTTTTTTTGATAACCGAGAAATCCGTCTGTCGACCCGCCCTTTGGACCAATCACAGCCTTCTAAACTCGGTTAATCTTCTACTCTTCTTCTTCTTGCATTTTTTATTTTTTTTGACATTTACAAAAGAATCTGCAATATTGTTTTTTGTTAAGCTTATTATTCAAATCTTCGCTTAAATAAGCAATACTATTTACTATAACATATATTTTTTGAATTGGTAATCCCGTGCAACGCACGTGTCAAAAAACTAGTATATATAGATAGACACAAGAAACAGGAAGAGAAGATATGACATAATTTCACCTATACAGACACTTCCAGAGGGAGAAAATTTTGAAATGTGGAACGGGAGGACATAAAAAGAAAATCAGCACAACAACTAGAAAAAAATTAATCTAGTAATTAAGAAGCATTCTGAAAATTAATATTTTTTCCAAGTTCCTTGTTCATTTTTTAAGTTTAACCTGCACGGCTAGTTTCCCATTTTCAAAAGAGAGACAAAAATACAAAAGATAAGTTGTACAATTTCACTGCAAGTTTGTTTGATAAGAATGGTATTCACAGCAAATTATTTGACGGGATCAAAAATATTTTATGATAGGTCAAAAAACACTTATTATTTTCCTTATTACATGGCAGAGCACACTTTTATTATCTTATATATGTTGTGGATAAGAGGTCTTAACCTAACTACTCTTATTATAGGTTCGTTTATCTTTTAAGCTATACCTGCACTGCAAATTGCCCTGTTGCTCCTGCAGCAGCAGTCACGAGGACAACTTTTCCCGATTCCATTTGAGCAGCCTACAGATTCAATGGTAAATAATATAATTCAAATAAGAAGAATGAACTAAAACATTCATAAATCAACCCCCAACTGTTATGAAATAGAGTGCACACTGTACATGGCATGACTATAGACAGTCCTTTTTCACCAGAGACAACAGAAACAGGGTAAAAATTTCTTCAAGGAAGATTAAATTAACCTTTTCCAAAGCAATTGATGCGGTGAGTCCAGAGGTAAGCATTGCAAGTACTTCTGGATCTGGTTTTGCTACAGGAAGGATGTGTTTGGAAGGGACCTGAATGTAGAAGCCAAATTACATAAACTCACCAAGGAAAATGAAAGATTAGACAATTCAAATCTGATTAGAGTAAATGTGCAAAACTGCAGTTACCATGACAAATTCAGCATAACCGCCAAAAGTCATTATGGCAGCAGGCATACCAATCTTTAAATTTCTAACAGCATCACCAATTGCAGCAATTATTCCCACAGCCTGCAGTACAGGAGGCTTAAATTTGAGGCAAGCTAATTCAGGAGTTAAAAGAATATATAATGAAGAAAGCATGAAAGTACTCCAATTTAAGGAATTAAATTATAATCAAAGTAGAAAACTGACTTTCATTCAATACTCCTTAACACATTCAGAAACCTATTCAATCCTCCAGTATCACGACTAGTACAAGCTAATAAAACTGTAGTTTACCATAACGTGGTCAAAATGAAAGGCTAAGAAGGTAGCAATAACATAACATGACCAAAGATTACATTAACAGGAGCATATACATCTAGGCTTTCACACTTGCAACTGAAATTGGACTGAAGTACATACAGTATGGTTTAGTGCAACTGAAATTCAACAAAACACACCAAAGGCTAATTTTAGTCATCTTGTGTTGAAGTTGACTGAAATCTAGCCAACTTAAGGATGCGGATATCAGGGAGGGGTGGAAGGGAAGGACAGAGATGACATAGGTAAAGAATTTTTTCTTGGATGCCTCAGTTAAGAAAACAGGCTTTAAGGAGCGAACAATTGGTTTGAGACTGAGTAATGGAGGGGTGCTCATGTAGACTGGGAAGGAAACTAAGGAGAAGACTGTTGCCTTGAGTCTGAGTCATATTTTTTTTGATAACCGTGGTGTCCGGACCAACTTTACACACCTCGACTAATTTCATGGGATACCAGCGCAGTTTAAAGGACGGAAAAAAAAACATGACATTTGAATTTTGAAGGATTGACACTTGAAACCATTGCACCAGTCAATACTTTTAGCATAATCCATCGAGTCACAACCAATTTTTTTGTAAAACAGAATGAAAAAACAAAATAATGCTGAAATAACTTCAGTATATGGATTGATGTGGATAGTTAAATCGGTTTTAACTGATTAGTGCACATCCCTATCCATGTCTAATTAGCAGCTTCCGGAAAGCACTACCACTTCGTTTTCTTTTTTGTTATTTTACTTTTTGGATCAAGTAAAAGCATCACCAATTAGTAATAAAAAATATAAACTGAAAGAGCTAATGCAGTAGACTCTCCTCCTTGTGGTTCATTATGTTATATATCCTAATCGAATCAAAAAGGGCAAATGATACAGAATCTCAAGTGAAAATGTGCATCAATAAAACACAATATGAAACTAAGTCAGTACAACTACAATTTACGCAAACATTTTCTGCTGACTGCTTGACTAAAATACCAATAGCCATGTCAGCCTGAAGGACAGTGTAGGAAACTGCTGCGCTTTATTTTTTCCAAGTGCCAGTAGTTGTACCTGTGGATAGGGCTTTCGTTTCTATTGATCCGTATTCCAATCTATGATTTTTATGAATGACATTTCAGAATCGTGCATTTTGACAGAAATTAATAAAGATGGAAGATCGCAGCAGCTATAAGGTTTTCCCATGCTGCTCCTTCCAATCTCTCCTCTATACACACACACACACATTTATAGACAATACGCATAATATGTAGTGTATGCATGTATGTGGGCACGTGCTGCATGCATTTTTTCTCTTACAGAAGATTTCCGAATTTCACCAACAAACCCAAAGAATTCAGACAGTTCTTTTTGTACCTCGAAGCCAGAATCCAGTGGAAGGAGGGAGGTGATGTCTTTGCCATTTCCACTGAAATACCGCCCTGAGCTGAAGTTGACCTATTGCAAATGCTTCTGTCAGTGAAGAGCTTAACCATGTGTGTATGTTCAGTGGGGGTGGGGCATCAGGGGGGCTTGCAAAATGGCTCAGTCAGAGAAGAACTTAACCATGTTTGTGCATGTGTAGGGTGGAGGAATTTGATG